AGAGAGAGAGAGAGAGAGAGAGAGAGAGAGAGAATATGAATCAGGGAAGGCTGACTCCGGAGGGGAGTGACCGAGACTAGTCCGCCTTGATGAGAGCTCAGAGAGACACCCAGAGGGAGGAGGTGGAGATGTGAACCCAGAGGAGCCCCAGCTACTAGAGGTAGCCCAAGAAGGTGTTTAAAGAAGCCATAGAGTGAAACATCGGGCTGGCTCATCCCAGGAACCCAGGGGAGGCACCTCAAATATCAGTGAGAAGTTGGGAGATGATGGGAAGTGATGAGACAGGAAGAAAACTTCTAACTGGAAGACTGTGAGCTTGAAATTGAGATTTGAGATTTAACAGAAACAAAGGAAGTGATCAGGCTGAAAAAGGTGGGAGCTGGAGGCAGTGGGGAAGAGAGCCAGAGAAGGCAGGTCTGAGTTCTAGCTATGCCTTTGTACTTGTAGGGTCTTAGGTGTCTGAACAAGGACTTGACATTTCAGGGGTAAGGATGGGAATGAAGTCTATAGGCAGATGTCTGAGCTAGAGACAGCAAGTAACAAGGGAGAAGATAGGGACCAGCCCTAGTCTCCAGTGTGACCCCAAGCATAGCCAGACAGGAGGATGCCAAGTAATAAAATCCTTTAAAGGTGCTTAACCTCCAATACTCGTTGCCTCTTCACAGACCTCAGTTTTTCTGAGACCTCAGTTTCTCCAGTCTTTCTTCCTTTCCCTCTACTCCCTTTCATCTTCTCCTCCCTCTCCCTCCTCTCCTCCCTATCCCCCAGGCTGGCCTCAGTCTCAAACTCAGTGATCCTTCTGCCTCAGCTTCCACAGCACTCTTTACCTAAGTTTCCGGGCCACCTTCCCCCCCCCCATTTTTCCTCCTCTTCCTCTGTCTCTTCCAACACAGGGTCTCACATATAGCCTGGCTGGCCTAGAACTCACTATGTAAACCAGGCTGCCATGTCCAGTCTTTCACTGTTTCTCCAGTGTTACTTCCTCAGGAAAACTTCAAACACCTTGAGAGCAAAAATGGCAGCACCTCTCACTGTTTCCTTAAGAGAAGGCAACCGGCTCTCACTTCCTAATCAAACATGGATCTAGTGGAAAGTGCAAAGATAAGTGAGACTCAGCATCTTTCCTAAAAGAATACACCACTCAGACAAAACAGTACATAGTACCAGCTAGAATTCCAGGCTGGAGCCTCCTGGTTCCATCTGGATGACCCAGTGTACCTCAAATACCACAGATTGAATAGGAGTGTGCCCTACCCTGTAGGTCTTCATTTAGTGAATGACAGTCACCCAGGTAACATACCTGGATGCAGCACTTGAGCTTTGTCTCCTTGACAGTCTGCACCTTTATACAGGGTTTTTCTTCTCCCTAGAACAATTCCAGAGCTGGGGCTGTAGTCACTGGTGAAGTGTGTGCTAAGCATGTTAAGGCCCTGGGCTCAATCCCAGCACCCAACTTTCACTCCCCAAACTCTTATCTGGGTTTACTCTTTTATTAGATCTCAGTATAGGTGAGGTTTTTAGATGCGCCACCTGGAATCCTTCCCTTACTGTAGCTTCTCTATCTGATCTAGACTTCCCGTATTCAAGTTCCAGCAATGTCCCTTTCTGGCTATGTGAGCTTGGACGAGTCATTACATTTATTTATTTACTTATTTATTTATTTTTGTTTATGTGTGTCAGCATGTGTGGAGGTCAGAGGATAACTTTCTGGAGTCAGTTGTCTCCTATTGTGTGGATCCTGGGGATCAAACTCAGGTCATCAGGTTTAGTAGCAAGCACCATTACTCACTGAGCCATCTCAACAGCCCAAGTTATTAAACCTCTACACTTTGGAGTCCTCATTTTTAGTATGGAAATAACAATATTGTACTGATTTTGTACCATTGTGAGGATTAAACATCCAACACACCATCATTCTAATAGTATGTCATCAACTCTTACTCCAGTTTATAAACCCACACACTACCTGGTTAGAGTTGAATAAAGGCTAAGAAAGCTGTATTTGTGTCCACAAGGGGTTGTTGTGTGCCAGATACCAAGGAGGCAGGAACAATTTGCGAAACAGGATTTCCACTCTCTGGCTTTATTTCTAGGCTACATGTAATTCACTAAGTGGACAAGACTGCCATCTGGTGGAATATTATGAAATGTAAGTGGTTTTCATACTTGGCTCCTTTAGACTTCTAGTCCAGGAAGTACCCTTCTCCAACTCTTCACATGGGATGGAAACCAGAGATGGAATGCTTGGTAGGCAAGCACTGTGCCACTGAGCCACACCTCTAGCCCACGATGTTCCATTTTGAAATGCTGTAAGCCTTGTCCCTTCTCCAGCCCCTCTTAGACTTGCCTCTTTCCTTGAGTTAAATTAGGCTTGGTTTATTTTGGTCCCCCTAAGTTGCAGAAACTAACCCCTCGGTTTCTTTTAGGAGCTTCAGCATTCCGCTGTCCCAGACTCAGTCCTGCCCTGGTTGCTTTATAGAAAAGGAGTTGGAAGAAAGCTGAACACTAAGATCTTCGCATGCTGGAGTGGTGGGGCTTGCTTCTAATCCCAACATTCGGGAAGTTGAGGCAGACAGAGTGCTCCAAGTTCAAGATCAGCCTGGACTACAGTGAGACCTTGAAACAAACAAACAAACAAACAAACAAACAAACAAACAAACCAAAACAAAATCTTCGTTCATCCTTGGTATGTGCCAACTCTGGTTCGGGTCCCCGCCCACTCTCCTGGTCTCCCTGGTAACTGCTTTCCTGCTAGGGTGCCCCCATCCCGGCGTTACCCAGGCAACCTTCAGGCCCGCCTCCTTCAAGGTCCTGACTAGTTCATAGCAAATGTGGGCAGGGGCTTGAGGGTGGTATTTAGGTTTTGAAGGTTGTGAGCTGCCGGGTGGGAAGGGGGCGGCGCTCCAGAGGGAGGGAATGAAATTTCAGGACCTGGCGGAGGGATCGTGGTGCCACGGTTAGAGGGTCTGTTAACAACCTTAGAAGCAGGAGCTGCAGCTCCTAGGTGTCTGTCGCCAGTGTTCTGTTCGAGGCCTAGGGCCATACTCCAAGGTGCTGCTGCCAGGATCAGGGAACCTCCGGAAGAAGGTGCTCCTGCTATTCTGTATCTCACAGTGCAGCCCCGCACCACCATCTGCCTTGTCCATCAGAGCTGGGCTCATGGGGAGCAGAAACTTTTCTGAGGGAGGTAGTCCTCCCATCCAAGAACTCATCAGGCTAACCCTGCTTAGCTTTCGAGACCAGGGTGGTACAGCTGTAGACAGGATTCCCCCATCCCACTCCTCTCCCCCTTTGCCCCCAAAAACTCTGTTTTGGGGATTTGTGGACTTATTCCTTGGCACTCTGGGGCTTTCTGGAGGTGGGTGAGGAGGGGTGGGGTGGTTGACACAGGGGTAGGCCTCCCTTGCCGCTTACTTCCGCTTACCGTCTTGCTTTCCCAGTATGTGCCTCTGGGGCTGTGGAGAAGCTGTGCGTTGCTGGGGTAGTATGTGGGGGAGAAGACCCTTCCAAGGCTTCTGCCCACAAACCCTGCGGTTCCCTGGGAGGACCTTCCTGTGTAATGATTGCCCTCTCCAAACCCTATAATTATATTGCCTGGGTCGCTTGGCAGCCCCCGTTAACTTATTTAGTTTTCTAAGAGAAGTTGGGGGTTGTGAGAAGGGAGCCAAAGGGTTTGTGTTAGGGGCTCTAGTGGTGACAGTGGAAGCATGATACAGTGTGGGGACTCAAGGAATCGTTGGGGCCATGACTTCCTTTGCCTCTCGCCTCCCAGAGAAGAACCTCCACTTCACTTCCAGCTTCCCCTGGCCTGGTCGCTTAGCATCTTAGGCCAGGCTTGCGTTCCAGCGTCACC